ACTTTGACGTTCGTTGAGTTTGTTTACACCAGTACGTTTTATGATTTTACAGACTTAAGGCTGATCCAGACGCTACGTTACTGATTCCTGATCACGTTTTGTCTGCAACGTGTTGAACTTTGCTGAAAAAATGTAGCGCTTGGACCGTGCTTTTAGATGTATCGTCGAGCTTCGCTTATTTATAATAAAATTTGAGTGTAAATAGCTGAGCGTTGTTGGTTATCAATAGACTTTTTTTCGAACCGAAACAATAATAATAGTATTGTACGGATTCTAAGGAAACAAAACATGTATTTTAAAAAACCCAGCCAGGAAAAACTAAAAATGTATTTGTCATAAAAAATAGAAGAATAATTATGTAAAATAAAAACAAAAAATTTGAACAAATAATCTAATGTAGCAAATGTTCAAACAGTGCACCTTCTTGAGCTGAACAATGACCTAAACGATCATAGAAGGCTCTTCGAACATTATTTAGCATCACAGGGGTGAGAGTTAGACATATTTCTCGAATTTCCAAACGCAGCTGTTCTAGGTTTACGGCACGATCCACCTGAAAACCACACATTTTGGATTTGCAATAACCCTAGAGAAAATAATCGTTGGGTGCAAGATCGGGAGAGCGAGCTGGCCACAGTATTGTAGCTCTTGACCCAGCAATGAGAACGTTTGAAAAAATATTGTTCAAATAATCTAGAGTCAGACCCGTATTATGAGCTGGACAACCATCTTGTTGAAACCACGTTTCGTTAAATCTAGGACCAGCTAATCGCTATTCTCCTAATTTCTGGAACTATTTGCCGTTGCAAAAGATTCAAATACTTTGGACCAAGATACCTGCGTAAATTTTCCTCAGACCAATAACGGGTGTGACTTGGATTTGTCGACCATGGAGTTGAAATGTCGATTCATCTGTGAAGACGATTTTTCTAAGAAAATCTTCATTTTCATTTGCCTTATTAATGACAGTTTCACAAAACTCCATTCGCCTGATGTTGTCATCAGGATCAATTATTTGGGAATTTCGTACTTTGTATGAATGATATTTAACCCTTGAAATACTGGTTATTAAAGGAAGAGGTCTTTCAGGATAATTTTCACCAAATAAATTTCGAACTTGTTATAATGAATTAACACCGTAAAACCACTAAACAATTTTGACTTTTTCCGAAATTTCATAAACTTCCATTTTAATAACTTTAAACGATTAGGCAAAGCGCATATTGGAGACACATGCGACGCAACCCACGCAGGGTAGCACAAACGACACAGTGCACGAAATTCGTAGGCTTTGCCGGCTAACCCCAATTGAATCAGTTCTTCCTGCATTTTTCCTATTTGACAAGCACGCACGCACACGAATTTGTGTCTGAAACACTGAGCGAAGCATGTTTTGTTTGAAGCATACTTAGCTTTCCCTGTGCTGCGTCTCAATATGCGGACATGCAATGCTCGCTACATGTTACAAAAACGTGGCGTGTGCTGCCTTGAGTCGGTTGCGTCGCATGTGTCTGAAGTGCGCCTTGCCTGTTTTTTTTTTTGAGTGACAGGTCTTTTTACGTTTACTTTTTATCTGGTTGTCGCGGTTAGCGCTAAATGGATATGCCATTTTGCGGCATGCGGACGCCTGCAAAGTCGTCACGTAACATCCTATATAAAGAGATAGGAGGTTCAGTTCAGCATTGCGACCTGCGCAGAAGGAACCTGTTCATTAATAATTAAAGGAGATAAAACAGCTCTTGGATACAAGTTTTTGAAACAGTCTGGGTATTGTACTCAAAATGCTAATAGGTCTGTAGTTTTTTATATTACAAGTGTCATCGGATTTGTGGATGGTTACTACATAATTGGACTTCCAGTATTCTATAAAGTGGCCTGATTTGAGTGAGCCATTAAATATGATATGCAGAAGTCTTGAGAGGATAAAAGAGTAGTTTTGAAGCAAAATAGGATGAATTTTATCAGGGCCTGGCCATTTAGAGGTTTAAGATAGTCAGTTCTGTATATATTTCAGAAATACAGATTGAAAACTCAGATACATTTAAGTTGTCGAAGAAGGGTTTTGCCTCATGTTGTGGTCGCTCTTGAGAGTAAACGAAACTGAATGGTTTGCGAAAAGATTAGCAGCATTCGCATTTTACATTATCCAAGTAAAGATTTGATGGTATATTAGAAGAATTTCTCTTGGAATTAATAAAACTCCAAAATTGTTTAGGGTTGTAATTGAGATTAAACAATGTTACCAAAATTATATTCCAGAAACAAAGTCGAATGTTATATAAAATTGATAGCTGTTTACAATGAGAACGTAGATTGGAAAAAATGTTGTAGTTATGGGGCGAGGGGACAGATTTGTAATGTTTATGAGCGATCTTTTTCTAGAATGTAACACTAATAAGATCCTGGCTGAACCATTTAGGAAATTTTCTGCTTGCGATTTTTTTAAAGGGACAAATAGGCCTATTGCACTATTAAGGATTTCGTGAAGTTAAATGTTTGAAATATATCTGGTACTGTTAAGTTAAAAAGTATTGTGTATTGTGTCCCAATGAATGGAGCTGAAAAAGTCATTATAAGGTTAGAGTCAGCTGATTTGAAGTCATGATAAAAAGAGTTTGCTTGTGGACTGACTGTACTTGACTTGCAGCTCTGAAAAAGGTTAAGACAAAAGGTGAGGGGTGGGTGGTGGTTGTCAACTTTAATAATTGGATCACAATGGTTAACATTAAATATTCTAGAAGAAAAAACTGATAGGTCTAATAAAAAATTGTTATTATTTCTGATTTCATTCAATTGGAAAATTCCATGATACGCACACATATTGGCTACGTTCACCAGAACCAAAACGGATTGTAAACAGTTTACAAATACCAACAGAATATGTTGGGTAAACTCTTGGTTCTGCTGAACGATTCCACTTTTCAATGATAGAACGTCACCTTCTGAATGACAGGTAACCACACAAAACACAGTGCTGAAAATTATAAACACTCTGAAATAATGCTTGCAAAAATGGCGACCGTTTGCAAAACATGTTTGGTTTTAACACAAATTCAACGTAGCGTTCAGCAGAACAATTGCAAACCGTTTACCAACGTTTGTATCTGGTGAACGCGGCCATTATTATCAGATGCTGCAGTTTACACCCCATAGTTTGTGGAGAAAAGTATACATCATTCCGTGCCAAAGCCATTGAACAATCTTCTGTCTGTACAAATCCAATTTACTTGTGGCACGTTAAAGTCACCGACCATATTTTACGTACGACATATAATTTGAATCGTAAGTTATTTAACTCCCCAGTTTGTGGGACTTTTCATGATTCTCCTTATAGTGTTTCTAATAAGCCCCTGATTATAAGATGTAATGTATAGATCCCGAAACTAGTATCTCGCTTAACGATGAATAAGGGATTGTAAAATTAACGACTTTCCCTCATTTTTTCACCCCTTAAAAAATGAACTCACATTTGTCTTCAGTAAACCATTGATTTTAATTTAGTTTCAACAGTTTTGCACCTGAGAAGCTTCAAAATTGAATTTATCGAATATACAGTGTGTCCACTTAAGTTCGCAGCATATGGGAAACTTTTTTATTATCAAGTTTACGGAGAAAAGTTATTCTTTATAAAAGTTTCTGCTTCTTAAAAAAATAATATTTAACTACTAAAACTTGAAATAGCATGTACAGGGTGGTCAAAAAATAGAAAAATGTACAGGGTGTTTCCTAAGTACGGTTCGTAACTTCAGGATGTGATTCCTTACAATATTTTAAGAAAAAAAGTTCCCATAAACATGTATCCGGAAATGCGTAGTTTCTGAGATACAGGGTGTCGAAGTTTTAGAAAAAATCGTTTTTTAGCTCAAAAATCCATTTTTAAATTGTTTTTCAAATTTGTCAGGTTTGTTTGTGATATCGAAAGGTATCTTTTGACTGTAATATAACTTGCTGAGTCTGAAAAAAAAAATCAAAGGTTTTAAAAAATAGTGTCGTGCCATTTTTTTCCACTTTTACCGCTTTTTACCAAAAAATTCTGTAATATTTTTCTATTTTTTGACCACCCTGTACATGGTATTCCAAGTTTTAATGGTTTAATACTATTTTTTCAAGAAGCAGAAACTTTTATAAAGAATAACTTTTTTTCGTAAAATTGATAATAAAAAAGTTTCCCATATGCTGCGAACTTAAGTGGACACACTGTAGAAGATTTTCCAAAAATGACACTAAGACAGCTTTTGCCTCACAGCTCCAATAATTTCCATCCGATATCAGTTGAGCTCTAATTAAAGCCAGTTGAATTCTCTATAAACCTATTAATTGATATTCTAATTCGGTTTCATTAATTTTGCACCTGAAAAGCTTCAAAATTGAATTTATCGAACATTGAAAATTTTCCAAAAATAACAATCAGACAATTTTTTCCTCACAGCTCCGTTAATTTTCATCGGATTTCAATGTAATTAAGCTCTAATTAAAGCCAATTAGATTCTCCATAAACCTATTAATTAAAATTTCAATTGAGTTTTGATAGTTTTACACCCGAGAAGCTTCAAAATTGAATTTATCGAACATTAAAAATTTTCCAAAAATGACACTGAGACAGCTTTTGCCTCATAGTTCCGGTCATTTTCATCCGATATCAGTGTAGTTGAACTCCAATTGAAGCCAATCAAATTCTCGACTATAAACCTAATAATTAATATTCTAATTTGGTTTCAATAATTTTGCACCTGATAAGCTTATTCAAAATTGAGTTGAAAATTTTCCAAAAATGACAATGATACAATTTTTGCCTCACAGCTCCATTAATTTTCATCTGATTTCAATGTAATTAAGCTTTAATTAAAGCCAATCAAATTCTCTATAAACCTATTAATTAAGAATTCGATTCAGCTTCAATAGCTTTGCACTGAGACAGGTTTTGTTTCATCAGTTGCCAACCAAAAGTCTGTAATATAAAAATAATAAAACGCCCATACAAATTCAAATTTTATCATCATTTATTTATTTATTTATTCACTAACCTACACTAAACTACTTTTGTACACAATTTTACAGTTCACATTTCCTAAAAAAAAAATATAGAAAAATACTCTTACAAGGGGGGACACAAAAGATACAATAATAAAAAAAACAAAAACAATTTGTTTACATAAATATTTGGTCAACAATCGATTCAATTTGAATAATAATATAGAACCTGAAATAGGAACTCACTTCAAAAAATTTACAACAAATATATTTACAATATTAATTTAGACAAATAAATAATAAATTCAGTTTCTAAGAAAAAAGGGAGACGCGGGTATATTATGGCTAAAAATGGCAAAACACTTTATTACTAATGAGCATTATTAAATTATAATACAAAAATATACAAATAAAAAAAAAAAAGGAGTCTTTCAGTCTGTAATGTAATAATAATCATATTCTCAACTCTGTATCCACAATAGACTTATTCCTATTTTGAGCTGACGGCCGCGACATAACATGATGCGGCGATATCGAAGGCGATTTAGTAGCTAACGGCGACAGCGAAGGCGAAAAATTAGGCGACATCGCCGTAGAAGTACTAAACCCAGCCCCCGAAGCATCGTGATTAATGGGCGACCTCGGCAACATCATAATACTTTGATTAGCCCTCGGGTTCAAAATAGCCCTGGGCGCTATGTTAGTTATCAACGGAGGCCCGGGCGCAACCGAAATCTTACTCCGAACGCTTGACGTACCGCTGGCAGCGCTGTGCACCGAAGCAGTATCGTCTTTCAGTCTCGCTATCTCGGAAAAAACATGGGCTAATGGTTGATATTGAGGCCCCCAGTCTAGTAAATAGTCCCAGTTGTAGCTACCTGCTAGTTCTTCTTCGCTATGTACTATTGAGCTTAGGGAGCCATTCATTGAGGGTTGATGGGTTACTGATGGTACTTCGCCATAGCTGATTGCCATTGCAGTAGCTTCGTCTGTTGAGCTAGCTCTATCACTATTAGCTACATCATTTAGTTTGGCATAAATCATGTTGGTGATATCTTGGTCGTTGGCACTTTCTTCGTCGAAGATGTGCAGAGGTACTGCTTGGTGATGGTGTAAGGATTCTTTACTACTTCCTGCTTGAGTGTGAGGGGCGCTGGTATCGACAACTATGCCCAATCTAGCTAAATACTCTTGAGTATTTCTTACTGAAACAGCTGATAATGAGTCAGCATCGTTGCCACGTTGTTCGTTAATCATTCTAATCTCTTCATCTTCACCATCTTCGCCATCTTCAGCTGAACCTCTACCACTTGACCCAGACTGCTCAGACCCACTCAACTCAGAAGTTGTAGCAGCTCCAGAACTAGCCGGATTCCCATAAGGCGGGATTTCATCATACTTAGGAGGGGCAAATTGGTTTTGCATCGGTTGTCCAACTGGAATAGTATCAAAACCACTTGGGTCCGCATAGTTGTTTGTAGCAGGCTCCGAACTCAAATTAGGTTTGTTCATTTTGCGGTTGCGTTTGTTGCGCATGTGCAAATAAACGAAAACTGCTCCAAATATTATCAGTAGTAAGGCAATTGAAATTACTAGGCCCAAAGCCCAATCTGAAATGCCTACTTGATTTTGGTTTATGGCTAGATTAGTACCAGGATCTGCTAAAGGATCCAATACGATTTCTATTACTGTCATGTTTGTTAAGGAGCCTTGCCTCCCAGAGCTTGCAGTTACTACAAGGCTGATTTCTCTGCCAGAAGTCATCAAAACTGATTGGTCAAATTTCCTTTTTAATAATACAGCGCCTGTTGTGCGATTGATTTTAAAATATCCATGTTGAGTTGTTAGTTGATAGACAACTCTACCGTCTGGCCCTTTGTCTTTGTCTGTTGCCACTACGTGACCAATTACATAACCAGCTGGCAAAGCTACTGAAGTGGCTAAAGGAAACTTATAAGTCCTCTCAGTAAATTGTGGATAAAATTCATCTTTGCCTTCAATTTCTACATAGACTTTTACCATTGATGATTTGCCTCCAGTGTCTGAAGCCTTTACGGCAAAACTATATCTATTTCTAAGTTCATAATCGAAAATAGAGGTTGTAGTTACCAGGCCGCTTTGGGTGTCTAGACTAAACAGTTTCCAATCGGCATTATCCACAAGGGTGTAATTTATTTTGCCATAAGGCCCTTTATCTAAATCTGTTGCATGAGCTGTAAACACTACAGTGTTAACAGGCTCGTTTTCGCTTACAGACTCCATATATTCATTGAAAGCAAACAATGGCACATTATCGTTTTCATCTTGCAACAAAATCCTTAAAGATGTCAATGAGCATAAAGGCTTAACACCTTTATCGCAAGCTTTAATAACCAAATTATATAACAAGCTACCTTGGTCATAATCCAAAGTATTATTAACATAAACTATGCCAGTGATTGAGTCAATTTTGAAATAGCAATCTTCATTGCCTGAAGTTATTTCATAAATCACATCAGCATTTGGGGTGTTTTGCAAGTCTGCATCAGTTGCTTGGATGTTTGCAACTGAGGCCCCAACAGGTAAACTTTCACTAATGCTTGTTTCATAGGTAGCTTCCAAAAATACTGGCGCATTGTCATTGAAATCCTCTACAGTGATTAAGACATGAGTCACCAAAGAGCCATCAATTGATATAGTGAGGTCATAATTGTCTTGCTGCTCTCGATCCAAGGGCTTTAGCAAAATCAAAGTCCCTGTAGGTGATATTTGGAATGTTTTATCATTATTGCCTTCTAGAATGTTGAAGCTGGTGGCTTGAGTTTGACTATTAGGTTTGGTCAAATGGATTAAACTAGTACCAGTTTTGGAATTCTCCATCACAGCCAAGCGGTACTCTTTTTTGTAGCCATAATTATTCTCCATGCGTTTGCTGTTTTTAATCCTTACAGAAACTAGCGAATGAAGAGAAGGTTCTCCAGAGTCTTCAGCTTTTATAGTCAAGTAAACATCTTGCAGGGTGCTGGTAACATTGGAAACGTTGACTTTTAGGATTCCATCGGATGGGTTGATGTAGAAGCCTGACAAAGGGTTGGCAATGGTATAGGTGAGTTCAGAGTTTTTGCCCGAATCTTTATCAGTAGCGTTGAGGGTCAAAATGTCGATGAATGATGTGGAGACGATATCTGAAACAAATGGAATAAGACTTATTGATTGAAAAAGGTTTAAAGAAAAAAACTTGATTAATAGATGTTCAGAAAACATCAATTACAATAACAAAGAATGTATCAATAGATGTTGTTGAGTGAACGTCTCTAAAACGTCTAAACGCCTAAAATGGAGCTGAGATGACACGCAATGGTAACTGCCCAGCATTTTTCAAACAAGTTATGAGGGTGACGTAACCTATTGTTTATGTTATCATATAATCTCGTAATACCTATACACATCCTGATAAAATCTGGATCCCGACTACTCCTTTTGGCTTTCACATGAAAAGTGTCCTTTCTTATTTCCAATGAACAGGATCGCTGCACGGGCCTCAATACATTTCCTTCAGCTGTTTTGATTTCTATAACACGTACGTACATTTCCATCTCTGCTATGAATGAGGCTGATAATTCTTCCAAGAAGATTATTGTTTATTAAAAATACTCGTCAACATTTAGTACAAACACAAACGATGTGTTTTTCTTAGTCGAAAACGATTTTAACTATCCCAGATACTCCTCCTCTGTATCAATATCTCCTCCCTACATATTTAACTTCGATATGATTCAGATCAGGCGAATCGGCTCCCATAATTTCTTGAAGAAACCTTCTGGATGTCAGTGTCTTTAAATCAGAACTGTCTTCAAAAATATAGGTTAGCGGTCTTGAGTCTGTTACAGAGAGAACAATGATTAACTCTGCTAGAGACAAATGCGATTTTTCTAGGAACTTCTTTAGCAAATCCTTAATTAGTTTGATCAAACGTTCAAACCATCTTCCCCTCTAGGCAACAAGGAAATCGCACTAGTGGTGTACCTAGCAAAACGGCCTAAAAATCCTTTTTTTTTTTGCTTCGTAATACAATTAATTGGCTTTCTTTACCCAGCTAGATTAAGTTTGACGAAACCGTGTCAAGAGCCAAGGGTTATCAGTTGGTTTCCGAAAGAGTGTGATGACTGTGTCTTAAAACACGACTCTCGACTCCTGGTTCCATGAACAAATCGCATGTTTTGCGACCGATAAGAATCCCAAAAACGTCATCAAGCTGCCAATATAAATAGGCCAAGTTCTAGTGTTTAGTATTTACGTCTTTCTGCTGACACTCTTTCCGAGACCTTAGGTAATGTTTCAATTTCAAGTATTTTAAATTTATTCATCATGATTGTTGTTTTCTGTCTATTATTTATTTTATCCCCTGTGTAAAGAGCAAAACCGTTCGGTTAGCTTCACAACTCAATTTTTTTTCCAACATGTATCTTACCCTGAATACCAAGGCCGTTTTGTTATTCCCTTGTCCGGTACGCCCGTGACTTTTTTACCCACTAAGAATTATAACCTAGTCTTTATTTTCTGTATCTTTTAATCGTGAATTTCTCATGTAACAAGGAACGCCCTATACAGGACGCTCATGGATTTCACTCCCTATCATTCCAAATCTCCGTATGTATTTTCTTTCATTTCATCTCAGTAAACATTGTTAATACCTTACTGTAGGTATATTCTTTGCTTTTCTTTCATTTCCTTACCAAGATTTACCATTTGCTCAATAAATCATTGTTAAAGTTTAGTAAGAAAAACTGATTCTTCTATTTCCTTTGGAAAACCCCAAGCTAGCATTCCAACTAACTGCGTACAGCTCAGGTAGCAAGAACCCGCACTGGAAGAGGCGATCTAATCAGATTACTAAAAAGTATCCGTTCAAAGTTACCTAGATTTTCAGTGGCACTTTGAACAAAGTCCCTGGTGGTACGCTACCGCAGTACAAAAAGGCCTTTACTAGTGCTTATACAAAGTCTCCCTTACCCAACCGTTACAATCAGGTGGCGGTGGCTGCAAACCAAAGTAACATGGTGAAGAGGACAGGCGAACAGGATAATACAATAAGCCGACGGCTGCAGTGTTGGGGCCACCTAACCCGGTCTGTTCACTCTGCATCTCAACCAACCAACCATGATGCCGTCGGAAGACTGATTTTCCATTCAATTTTCTGGACTACTTCCTTATCTTGAATTGCATTCCAATCATTTAAGTTCTTTCAAGTGTTTCCGGCTCTAACAAGCAGTTCCATTATTAGAGAATATATTTTTCAGTTTTCCTCTACGAGCTATGAAATTCCTCAATGATTCAGTGGACAATGAAGATACGACCTCCAAGTACACCACTCTCTACAGGGCTTAAATGAATAGAGCTATCCACATTTTCTCACCAGTCTTCACATATAGGAAACCAGCTAAATCGATGCCTTCAATTTCGAATACTGCTGGGTCTCCTATACTTTCTATCATTAGTTGAATTGGGATCGTCTTTACATTCCTTCCTTTATGTCTTTTACAAATAATGCATTTGATAGTCCGTCTACAATGATGAATCCAAAAGCGTTCTCGTAAAATGGACATCAGTCCTTGTACACCGATATGACAATTCTTCAAATGTCCGGATCTTATGAGCTGGATGTAGTTTGGAAAGAAGAACCAATGATACGGATCCTAATCAAACCATACTTATCTAATAAAGGACTAGAGGTTTTCTCATCATGAATTGATAAAGGGAAACTTTCTTCTTGTATGATTCTAATAACTGCCAGGGCTGGAACTCTGTAACGAATAGAGATATTTCCTATATCTCTATTGACTTCCCTTCTCCATTGATTTCAAAAAGAGAGAAGAAGACAGCAAGTGCCTTAGCGATAGGGATAACAATCTCTATCCGTTAGAGAATCCCAGCCCAGGTTACTTGAATTATTCTGCTTCCTACAATTGGAGACAAATCTTATGACCCATCCAATCAGCAGAACAATTTTATTGAAACTTGAAAAATATGCATAGTACTGAGCGAAAGGTTTAAATAAAAAACCTTGTTGTTCAAAAAACATCTGTTTTGGTAAACAAGAATGTTCAATAGATGTTGTTGAGTTGTGTCTAATAGACAAAATAGAGCTGAGGTGGAACGCAGTGGTAATTGCCCAGCATTATTGGCATCCATGTCATAGAGGTGACATAACACATAGTTTATGTTATTATGAATGAAACGAAACGAATCTACCTTCTTTCTCTTGTTTTCATTCACCAAATCTTCATCACATTGATATTCTCGATCAAAACATTCGCTAGTTCGTGTCTGAAGCCACAAAGAACCCTCCCACTATATTCCATTAGCAAAATGTTTTCCAAAGCAACCCCTGGATGGAAGATCTGCTGGATTTTCATCTCCAATTACATGAAACCAGTCAGTCGTTGAATTTCCTAGATACGATTCCATACAAAGGATTTCCACTATTCGTCCCGCTTGATCCATTAGAATCAGTCCAAAAATATCACTTCATAGGAAACTCAAAATTATTTAAGACAACGGTCCTGTGAAAGCTTAGCACCAACTGTCGCTGCTAGCAATTCTAGTCTTGGTATACTGGATTTCTTCAATGGAACAACTTTCAACTTAACTTGAACTAGGGATACGAAAACCTTTCCATCAGTTTCTGATCATATAAAAATAGCTATAGCATATGCTTCTTTACTGCGACTCTCAGCATTTTCAGTATTGAAAAACCATCTAGGAATATTCATCTGGTACTAGGTATAGAAGTTCACGCATCCACCTGAGAAAATTAAGTCCAACTTCATCTCCTACTTCAGTATTCCAGCCTAGCTCTAACTCCCAAATCTTCTGAAGTTTAGGATACAATGCAACTGGACTAGAAAAACCAATTGGATCGTACAATTTGTAAGACTGCGATCCTTTGCTCAACTAATGCGAGTTGACCACTACCTTTTCTCCTATAGTTCATTGCGTCGATGTTTGTCAGCATACATCTTGGAGGCATCCTTTCTCAGTTCATTTGTCTCTCTAACGTTGGACAGGACATTAGCAACAATATTTAATTTTAAGGTGATCTCAGGAATCAAGTTATCGTTATTAACGATAGCTCGGAGATTACGTTCGACATCATGCGGGATTCTTAGTTCACGGGCAAAACATAAAAATAGTCAGGGCAGTAACCAGTAGATAGGTTATTGGCAGACTTCATTGCAAATATCACACTCCATTTCCACAAGTATTGCTAATTGAGTCTTCAAATCTCTGTTTCTTCTCTCTACAGGATTAAAAACGGGATGATACAACGGTATAAGATTTTGGATAAAACCGAGACAGTGAGCAACTTGTTGCATGATACCTGCTTTCCATTGTCACTGATGATCTTTCTGGCAGCTTAATATCTGAGAATAACTTCAACGATGTCATTAAGGTACCCGAATATCTGGATATGCGGCAAACCTGAACAAAAACGGTTTATTAGCTTTTGAAATGTTACTGGGGCGTGGATAGACCAAACGGCATCATGTTATATCGAAAGTCCAAATGGCGTGACACTTCTCTGACAGGTACTTGATGATAACCATTCTTCAGGTCTAAGGTGGTTATGTAGTTGCTTTCCCAGTTGAATGGATAAGGTCATCTATACGAGGCAACGGGTAACGAACATTCTTGGTGACAGATTTAGTCGGCGATAATCAACACAAAGACGTGAAGTTCCGTCTTTCTTTCTTCGCTACAAGGACGACTGGAAATGCGTACAGCGATTCGCTCTCTTGAAGGATATCATTGATCTAGAGTCACAAAATTAGTCCAGAAAGCCATTGGGGTGGTGGTTCACTACAAAACCCCAAGCATACGTTGAGACGCCAAATATGTAGTGGCCATCGAAGAGAACTTCAACACTATATGCACTCTACACATTGTTGGCAAAATAATAGCAAAATTACTGATAATGAACTCGATCGGGAAAACTGACTGACTTATTGATCACAGTTATTGATCGATTGATGACACTTGTCAGTCAAAGTACCACCAAAAAGTAAATGAATCAGCTAATCTTTTCGTATACCTACCAGCGTAAAGGTACGGTTTGTTAGGACAGTACGCCTCGCATAACTGACAACGTAAACGTCGTCATTGGTTCAGGTATGACCATAGGTATGACCGTACACCCGTTTTCTCACGTCAGAAGACGGGTGTACGTCATACCTGAACCAATGACGACGTTTACGTTGTCAGTTGTGCGACGCGTACTCTTCTAACAAACCGTACCTTAACCCATTGTCTCTGCTAACGCGGATGTTATGCAGGATCTGTGTGAGTCACTGTCGAAAACCAATCTTGTTCCATGTGTCTGGCAGTCACTTCTTAGTTGAACTACCAAGGTATGCAAAAAAACTTCCGAATAGGTGTAATTTGATAAACACTGTTCAGCACTTATTGAACAACTTGAAGCAGGCATTTTTTGAGAAGAATGTTCTTATTGATTTGGTGCATTTTTCTCAGTACTGTGTACATACAGATCAATTTCACTCCAATATGCCCAAACTTCAAACATAAGTGATAGCATCTATTCTAAGTAAGAATATCTCTCTTATTAGGGAGACAGGTTAGTAGTTACGGGGGCACCTGAGCCTGAGAAATTTTTCGATACCGTGGGAAAATCTCTAGATCGGCGGCGTCTTTGATCTAAAATTTTGTGGATTTGACCCGGTCCAACCGGTTAACCGTGAAACATGATGCTCCTGTTTGTTCTCATATTAAACGTCGACGGCGTGCTGATTCACGGATTTTTTTTTATTTAATACTACGGCATCCTGTGAAAGGACACAACACAACGAACACTATGTACGCTGGATGGCGCCACTGATAACATCATGATGTCGAAAATTTTGGGGTTGGCCCGGGTCAAATCCACGAAGTTACAGATCGAAGGCGCCGCCGATTTAGAGACTTTCCCACGGTATCGAAAAATTTCTCAGGCTCAGGTGCCCCCGTTACTACTACGCCATCTTAATGCTTCATCGCAAGTACAGGCAGCGTGTGCATTTTTACAAAACATACACTTCATATAATTTCTGGTTAGAGTGAATGGTATTTTCTTATCCTCTTGTCCCGTCTTGACCTTTGGTAAGTTTTCATTGAACTTAGTTTTTGCCAGCGTGATGCGGACTTCATTTTCGACGTCTTTCTCAAAGAAATGCAGACGATCCTTGAGATTCAACACGTCAGTATAACTAAAACTTCTCTGTCAAGCTCGGATGAGTTCAACATCAAGACACGATCGACTGAATAAGGATACAGAATAGCTACACAGGTATGACTCAATCCTATCAGAGAATTTCATCTGTTCACATTAGCTAGAACTGACTTCAGAAGTTCTCTCATGTAGAATTCAACCAGAAGATCCTGTGTTCTTTAAACTTTGAACTACTTTTGGATAGTTTTCAGCCATAGCAGGGTAGCTTTCTACCAAAATACGAGCATGAGAATTTGAGAGATTCGACTGCAGAAGATACTGAAATTTGTCTATTTCTGAATTTTCGTCTATCCTACGAAACTGGCTGCAAAGTTTTTAAATCCAATTCAGGGTAGTTTCATTCTGTGGCGTGAAGTACTAAAATTATCCCTACTTGTTATTTCAATTTAAAATAATCTCCATTTAGTCTGTTAGTAGATTTAACCTCTTCCTGAAGAGCAGCAGGGATTATCATCGTCAGAACTTAAGAGAAAATCAACCAAAAGCTGGCTTAATACTTGTTATTTTCCCTTCTATAGAACTCGAATACAACTCTGTATCTCAAACATGTCAGCCTTTCCATCATTCAACATATTTCAGTAGGCCGAACCTACTAGCTTCCAACAGATAAAGACGTTTAAAAAACATCTTTAAATGAATCAGATAGTTTGATTGATGGGACCCTCTAATTTCCAACAGAAATACTCACAACTGAATCCAACGTCAATTTATCAAAATTATCAAAAAATACGACTTCAAAGAAAGTCGGCAACAATGTCTAATATAATCTAGAATTGAAAAGCAATATTATTATTTACCTGGCAAATTAGTTTCATAAGTCCCTTGCATAAACTCCGGATAATTATCGTTTACATCACCTACTTCGACAGTCAAAACGGTTTCGGCCACATGCGCAGTATCACTAGCAACAATTTTCAATTTGCAATCTTGCCAAGTTTCAAAGTCCAGCATTTTCCTGAGGAAAATCTTGCCGCTAAACCTGTCAATAGAGAAATACTCTAGGTATTCCTTGTCGACGTTTGGGGCAAAGCTGTAGGTGAGCTCAGGAAAAGTGTCAACGTCGTTGGCTGTTAGGGTCGTCAACAGGCTGCCGAGTTCGGTGTTTTCTGGTACTTTGATGGTGCGCGGCGGTGGGAAAGTTGGTTGATTATCGTTGACGTCTACTACATTGATGCGCACTCTAGCTGTACCTGTCATTTGTGGTATACCTTCGTCGGTAGCTAGAAAAAAAATTAATTGTGTAATTAAACATTTTGAAATGGAAATTACAATAAAATCAAAACCAAACCAAATGAGTCAATCAACTTACCAATTATTGTAAGTCTATAATTGTCCCTAATTTCTCTGTCTAGTACATTGTTGGTCCGCACGATTCCGCTAAAGGCAGGCTCGATTTTGAAGGCATTATCGTGATTTCCGTCCACAATGTGATACAATATTCTAGAGTTTTGCCCTTCGTCAGCATCTGAGGCCACAACTTGCAACACAAAAGTACCTAAGCAAAAAAGTTTATTAAATTACATTTAACATTTAACAACAAAATTCTATAGCTACCTTTCTTATCTCCTTCCCATACAGATGCAGTATACTGTTGCTGCGTAAACTTGGGAGCATTATCATTTTGATCCACTAGCCTGACAATGACGTCACAATACCCATGCAAATTGGGATTACCTTCGGTTTTAACTTCAACAACCAAATGTATTGAGTGATGCAACTCGTAGTCCAAATTCTTAGGATCTCTGACTTGTATCATGCCAGTTTCCGCTCCAATAACAAAAATATTGTCTTCGTTTCCAGTTCCAAATGTGTATAGAATCTTTTGCCTTCTGCCATCGGTACGTACAGCACTGACTTGTATAACATCCCGGAATTGATCGGTATTTTCCGGTATAGTGACGTCGTAGGTGTCATTTTGGAAGCGCAAACTTAAAGAAGCTTGTGGTAAATCGCCTACGATTAATTCTATTAATCCAGTGGAGCTTTTAGGAGGATTTCCTTTGTCTGTTGCTATTACGCTTAAGTAAATTACTTTGCCGTTGCTGCTGGTCAATGACTGAGTTGCTGTCAGTACACCAGAATTGGGATTAATACGAAACTTTCCCAAATTGCCTTCATTGACTAAATTATACACAATTTCACCATTAGTACCTTCATCAATGTCTTTTGCTGTTACTTTTAGGATGTTTTGGCCAGGCTGTATATAGCCAGGCACTTTTTCCTTAAACGGATACATTGTAAAAACAGGCTTATTATCGTTGACATCTTTTACATAAACAGTTACAGGCACTTTTGTGGATCTGGCATTGTATTTGCCGCTGTCAGTTGCAACAACCATGAAATTGTATTCGGATTTTCTTTCTCGATCAAATAAGCCCGCTGTTGTAATTACTCCAGTGTTGTTGTCAATGCGGAATAACCATTGGCTTTCATTGGCTAGGAAGTAGATTATTTTTGCGTTGAGGCCAGTGTCAGCGTCTGATGCGTGCACTTTCATTATAGAAGTGTCAATTGGGACATCTTCTAGCATTGTGGTTGAGTATTTGGATAAGTCAAACTTTGGATCGTTATCGTTTTGGTCTTCTACATACACGGTCAAGTTGCATAGGCCTTGTAGTGAAGGAGCTCCATGATCTTGGGCTGTTATTGTTAAAAAGTATCTTGCATTGCTTTCTCTGTCTAAAGGTTTAGCTGTTAGGTCACCTGTTTTTGGGTCAATGCTGAATTTATTGCGAATATTACCGCTTGTAATTGAATAGGTAATTTCTCCATTAGAACCACTGTCTAGGTCGTTTGCAACCACTGTATGAAAAATTGCAGTTTCACTGTTTTCTGGAATGGCAAGTCTTTGGCAAGATTCAACTAAAAACCTCGGTGCATGATCGTTTATATCCATTACATTGATTACGAGCCTAGTTTTATCAAACATTTGCGTAGAATGATCAGTAACATAAACAGGTATTGTATAATGTTCCAAAACTTCCCTGTCCAAAGGCTTTTTGGTGTAAACCTTGCCATTATTATGTACTTCAAAAGTATCGTCGGCAATTCCAAGAGGCAAATGAAAAGAGACATTATCCAATCTGACAACTATTTCAGTCACCAACGTGCCTACTCCAGCATTTTCCATTATATTGGCCTCATATTCAGGCTCTAGTAACTTCTGAAAACTATTAGCAGTGTCTTGCACTAGCAATTTAAGTTTCATGCTAGCTTGTAGGTTTGTAGGTTTTCCATGGTCAATAGCTGTAATGTTTAAAGTGTAACTTTTCCTGTTTAGAGGTTTGGCCAAGGTTAAAACTCCTGTGTCATAGCCCAAAGAAAATTCATTGTTGTTGGCTAAAATATAAGTCACTCGGCCGTTGTCACCAGAATCATCATCCATTGCTAAGATGTTTGTGATTTTCATTCCAACTGATAAACTATCGCTGATGAATACTATTGAAGGCATTATGAATCTTGGAGTATTATCATTGAAGTCTGTTACTAAGATTTTGGCTGTAAGGTAGCTACTTAGACGTTGTGAAGCGTTCAAGGCTTGATCACTAGCTTTTATAACCAAAAAGTGTTCTTTAATTGCTTCAAAATCTAATGCGGATGTTAAACTTAAACTTCCCGTCAAAGAGTCTATTGTGAAGAATGTATTTGGGCTTAACAAATACCGAATGTCACCGTTTTCATTGCTATCTAAATCACTAGCAGTGAAGTTATAAATCGTTGAGCCAACTTCAGTGTTTTCGCTTACAGGGATTGTTACAGGATCTTTGGGCCATTTAGGTGCATTATCATTGACATCCGCTATATCAATTTTGACAGTAATTGCACTACTTTGCGGATTATTCATGGCCCTTATATCCATAGCTCTTACTTCCAGTTTGTATTCAGATTGTTTTTCTCTGTCCAGCTCTTGGGCAACAACGATTTTGCCAGTATTACGTTCGATTTCAAATGCATTTACTGGACCAGTGATTGTGTAAGTTATATGAGTAGCAGTACTGTCTGGGACAATATTTTCTTCCAAAGAAGTCAAGGCTACAGTGCCAATAGCTTGACCAATCTTGGCATCCTCTCTTACAATAAAAGTTAAACTAGAGCTGGTAAAAGTAGGCCGATTATCGTTGAGATCAAGTACTTCTACTCTCAACATTCTTACTGTTTGCTTTGAAGGATTTCCTCCATCTATAGCAACAACTCCAATACGATAAATAGTTTTTTCTTCATGGTCCAAGACCAATTTGGTTCTTATTAGTCCAGTTATTGGATGAATTGCAAAAGTTTCTTGACCATCAGAGTCTTTAAGCAAAGAATAAGTGATTGAAGAATTGTATCCGTTGTCTGCATCAATGGCTCGTATTCGGACAACTTCGGTTCCAGGGCTTTGTTCTTCACGTACGCTGACCACGTCCTCTTGAGGATCGACTATTTCCGGGGCATTGTCATTCACGTCCAGGACGGTTATTCGGACGCTGACTCGGGCGCTTCTGGACGGTTGTCCTTGGTCTTTGGCTTCAGCTACTAGATCGTAGGTTTCTTTGGATTCTCGGTCCAGGATTTCTTTTGTGGTGATTTCACCTGCAATACAATATTCTATGTTATAAGGATGAAAACGAATAATTTATAGTACGATTATTACAGTATTGCATTTCGCCTCAGCTCCATTTTAGTTCAAAAATGGTCAAAAAAGGCAGGCCTGATGTCAGCATCCAAGAGAAACGAATAAAAACACAAAAGTTCAAGATACAGCAATTGGAAGACACCCCTACCCAAGTTAAGTCGGAACTGATGTTAGACAAAATCAGAATTCCAGTATAAACATTTGATGGAATCAAACAAAAAACAATGGTATACAATCCAAAATATTGTCACAACCCCTATACGTTTCGTCCTGGGACGTCACAACAGGAGCGTGACTTGGGGGCGTAGGTGGGGTTCAAGTAGAGAGAAACTCACTTGGTATGTGTATTGATTAATAATAGTTATTACCCTAGAAATGGTATCATGACGTCTCTTCTACGGAGGGACGTACTACTCAACGGCCACTCTGTATTAATTATGTACCCTCGTACACTTGGCGTGACTGAAGACTGAAACTAGGTTTGAGACAGGTCCAGAAGTGCGTTTCCCATTAAAGCTAGTTTGCACTGGGAGGAGACTTAGCTAGAAAGGCTTTTCCCATTAGAGGTAGTTCGCGCTAGCCTCAATCTGCCGGTAATGGATTTCGGTGCTGTATTTATGTCAAACAAATGCTGACTTGTCGACACACTTTAGTAAATTTGATGTACAGAGTGATATTTACTTAAGTAGTTGACAATATAAATGAAGAAATCGCCGTATGTGAATATAGTCATCAAGAGAAGTACTTCACCCTAGACTTGTACAGGGTGTTCAAGATTCGCTGGTAGGAGGGTTTCGGGTATTTCTAAAGGAGTTGGAAAAGATCGGACCTCCACTTGCATCCCGAACCCACAATTCGATAGTATTGTCCATATAAATTACATAGACGATACTATCAAATCATGGGTTCGGGATCCGGGCCCTGAGCTGGGATGAACCTGTAAATCAAGAAATATCTTCAAGATGGATACTTTCAGAGCAAAAAACAAAGAAGTAGAAAAATATCAAAATTCCGAAGTGCATGCCTACATCTGAGAAAAACGAAAATTGAACTTGCGATGCATCAGAAAAGGCCTACGGTGCAGTGATCACTAGTTAAATAACAGAAGAAGACAAGCGAATTGTTACGCTCCTGCAAGCAAAATCTGCTGGGACGCTGCCAGTATTTTACTGCCTTAGATTTAGCTAGCGGCTTCCACCAGATCTAGACAACGACATCGAAAAAACCGCATTCAGCACAGAAAACAGGCATTATAAGTTCTTGCGTATGCCCTTTGGTTTGAAGAATGCGCCGGCTACATTCCAGAGAGTTATGGATGATATTCTATATCCCAATGTATTGAGCAACTTCAACATCGAAAGATGGAACATCTCATCAATAATAGTTATTCATTATACAAGGGAAAAAAGTATTAGATTTTAGAGCGAGATGTGGTCTGCCTCCCGTCGCGAAGCGGAGGGAGACAACAACAAGATGGCCAAAAAGCGCTGGGAATGCTGGAGGTGCAACAGTGGAAATCGTTATCTTTCGTTCTCTATTCAACCTTAGAGTTTTTCTAGAGATTTCATTCTATTGCATTAAAATTGGCCTGTTAAACCTGTATATTATGGGTAGTTTTTTGACCATGCCATTAGCTTATTTATAAGTTTGTTTCGTGCCATAAGTTGAGTTTTTTTCAATTTATTTTGAGCGAGGCATCATAGGGAGGAAATGTGTTGATTTCAGTCCATTTACTGAAGAGATCTGTATATCAAAATTATCTTGTCTACTACCGTTTAAATCAGACAACCGGGCTTTAAACTGTATATACAGACTGGACAAACCTGCTAGACACAAAGGGAGTAAAAAGTCGAATTGGCTTGTAGCCGGTTAAGGCGAATCAAATCGGCATTTGCCCCCTTACCCCAAAGGCCTTCAAATTTTATTAATAATTCAAAATGGAAAATACTCAAATACATACATTATAATATAAGTAACGTTCTACTATAAATTCTCATCAAAATTTGTTGAAATAGCCGCATTTCCGCTTGCCTCCATCATAAGAAGTCCCAAAAATACCGTGAAAAGACCCAAAAATTTCGCGGCTGCGGAGCTTTTCTTCCTGCAGCGCTTACGGCGGAGTGGCCACTGCTGTAAGGATCACTTCCTGCAAACTTGCCCCTCCCTCCCCCCCCCCCCAAGACCAAATCCTGACTACGCCAATGGTGCTGTCGAAGCCGAGTATAGCCGAGCTGCCGAAAATGCACGAATTTCAATAATATAAAGGAACCTGCGGGGACGATCAATGATCCTGCAGACACCCACACATATCTACATTGGTAGTCAGAGACGCGCATAAGTCCACTCTTCATGGAGGTAACCAAGCTGGCAAACATACGAAGCAAATTTTGGATCATCAACGGCAAAAGAGCCGTCAAAAGCGGTTATAAATAATCGAGATTAACTCCAGCACCATCATTCACAAACCCAGGAGTATACTACGCTGGACCAGTTCAAGTCAGAGCAACAAAACAGTATAAAGATGGCGGGCGACACAGACGTCTGTAAAGAATGCTCTGACAATTTTATTATTAATTCGAAGTCTATAGTCTGCAAAAAGTGTAAAAACAGATTCCACTTATATAAAGACTCATGGCAAAAAATTTTAGTGGAAAACGCCAATTATTTTGTGATGCCTGTAAGGTGAAGTGTTTGAAGTTTTTGGAAAACGCTGACTTACCGGTATGCAACGAAATCATTCCTAAAAAAGCAGTTAAATGCCTCAACAGAGAAAACGAGCTTGAAGATCAGCTGATAGAGGTAAAAGATTATGCAAACAACCTGTAAAAGTGTCTTATTAGTAGCTATGAAGAAAAAATCGAGAAACCAAAATTGGCTGCATCAGCTGGAAAAAGCGACCAAAAAAACGAAAATAGTAATGTAGTTAACAATATCAAACCATTCACGAGTAGTTTAGACCAAGGTCAAAATATTCAAGCAGGAGTGATATGACAACAGAGGCATTCTTAGCTGTACTCCGAATATCCACATCTCAAGAGAGTAATTGGAGACTGCATTCTGACCTATGAAGAATTAATGACAAATCGAAGTATGCTTAAACTCAAGACCACTCTGCCCGCTAACAGAAGACACAGATGATTTCAACATCTTCACCCCAGGAGGACACTTTTTTATAGGAAGAGTACTGCTAGCACCACCAAGCTTGAGCTCGACTGAACATTTTAACCTATCTCAACGATGGAGACACGTGCAAAAAGTGAAGAAAAACATTTGGAGCGCATGATGGAATATTCAGACTAAAAATATACAAGTAGGAACAATGGTCCTTATCAAAGAAGAAAATATAAACCCTAACCAGTGGCCTCTGGGCTAGGGAGAATAGTAGAAACTCAACAGGAACAAGATGGAGCAGTTCGCGTGGTAACAATAAAGAGAGCAGGTGGTTCCACATCAAAAAGATCGATTCACAAGTTAATTCCTCTATATCGACAGACCACACCATTCACCAACCATCCAAAATTTGTCAGAAGTAAGGGGATCATATCTTCTCCAGAACATAGCACTAACATCAACAAAATCATATAACCTCCACGGCAGAAAAAGGATTTGAAATCAACTATCCGCAACATTAGGTGGCTTGCTCACTCCGTGCACGCCGAGTGACTCCATTCGCACTCCAGCCATTCGGGTTAAGGTTCGGGTACTGCTTTTTACAGTATTAGGGGTGACTCCATTAGCTCTGTTCACTCCACTCCAACTCCGCGCTGAATAGCCGAACCCAGCTATGATTCTACGTTGAAAACCTTGGATCAGCAAAATTGATAGAGGTATTTTCAGAATAGAGACAACATTGACCCAAGAACAAAACCGAAACCGACTTATTAGAGGTGTCCACCGTAGTCAGCCAGCTCAGAAACATGTGCAACCAACTCAAAAATCTCACCGATGACGTCAAATGCACATCTCTCGTACAGCATTTAGAAGAAATGGAAAATCACTCTAAATGGATATTCGCGACCAAGAGAGGATTGTTTGGAAAACTTTTGACTGATGAGGTTTTTGGAGTGAACAACGAAATATATCAAGATATGGATGCAATCAACAACAATCCAGGAAGAGCTCATCAAAGCATCCAACTACTCTATTCAATTCAATTCAAAACAAGCTTTATTGTCAAAGAACAAAAAATCTTACGACAGTTAAGTCAAAATATAAAATGCATGCAACAGAAGCAGGAAGGCTTTAGTCCTATATGGAGACATTTAGAAACTCATCAACTGTATAAAAGGCATGTTGAAGTAGAGTGCTCCTCAAATGGCTTCGAAATCGTGAAATATTTGAGATGTTTCTGATAGTTGCAGGAAGGTGATTATGGAATTTCACGCTGTTGTAAATTATTGAGTACTTCACAAGAGTAAAGTGCGGAATCAGGAGCGGTATATTGTGCGCCTGTCGTGTGGAAAAGGCAGTTTGGTGTACAGGGAACGAAGATATGTGTTTATGTACCGATTCAAGTATAAAAAGACATAGCAGTGTTAAGATGTTAAATTTTTTTAAATAAGGGTTTGCAGTGTTCCACGGAGGAGGCACCAGCGATAAAGCGCACTGCTCTCTTCTGGAGTTTAAACACTTATTGAAACGTATTGGCTACAACAGCCCCAAAAAGGTAGTCCATAAGAAAGGAGGGATTGTATCAATGCAGAATACACTGATTTTGCTATGGTTGCATCCAAATTTTGTGGCTACAGCTCGGACACAGTAGCAACCAGAAGAAATTTGTTATTTAGAGAGGATTTGATGGAGAATTCGCCACAGTCAATATCATCAACATTACATCGGAACTCAAGCACCTCTGAGTCTTACCAAAGTTAAAAAGCAGTCCATTTGCATCACACCAACACTTAATGGCCCTCATGTCCCCAGAAATCATCTGAACCAGCTCACCAGATAACTTCCC